TCTGCCCATTTTTTAATTGGATTATTTGCTTTTTGTTTGTTGAAGTGCATGATCTCTTTATATATTTTGGATGTCAAGCCTTTATCGGATCTGTCATTTACAAATATATTCTCCCATACTGTAGGGTACCTTTTTGTTCTATTGATGGTGTCCTTTGCTGTACAGAAGCTTTTCATAGACAAGTTTATTCTTATTTGTACTTCTCTATCCCAGTCTTGGCTCCCTAGATGGCAATAGGATCTTTGGCTTTTAATAGGAAAGGGCTCTTCCTCTCCTGAAGACAAGGGACCATGGGCACAACCGTATCAGGAGTATCATGGCCAGGCAGATCTGTGGAAGCCTACTAGTCAGTCAGCCACACATATAGAACACTCTAATCCATTTGATGTTTTTATTCACGCTCTTTGTTTAGGGTAACTGGTTAAGCAAAGTGCTTTTCATAGCAAAAATAATGGGAAGCCTCCCTGTCTTTTCTGTTGTCTGTTTCTGAGTATTTCCCTACCATTAAAGCTCTGGTTTAGCTTTTAGTTACTTAGTGTTTCCTAGGGAATCGGTCCTAACTGCTGTGTCTGATTACCCGTGACAAAGATGCCAGATAAAAGGCAGAATGCTGACTCAGATTATTTACAGTATTTTAAATGAGCTTGACACAAACGGTTAAGGATGGATTGCAAAAAAAAGGAATGGTCGACAATTTCCCTTAAGAATTTGTTTACTTAGCAGTGAACTTTTTCTTTCCCATAGCATTTTAGTGCAAGGGTCAACTGGGGGATGATGATCTTTCTCAAACAGAAGCTACTGTTCATTTTTACTCTGTAAGAAAAATATATTGTAATCAATGGAAAAGAATGCACAGAAGTGAGAGTGCTTCTAACAGAACATCAGTGAATTTGTAGCTATTTTAGTGAAAACTAAGCTAATGCTTACTGCCATGTACCCTACTGTTGTACAGTAAATATTGATGACAGTGACAGCTTTTAAGTATTTGGGCCACCAAAAACTATTATGCAAGAGGATTTAGAAGGATCACATTCATACATCCCAAGTTCTGTGGGTGTATTATTTATGATAGCTGGCCATATGTTGTGGCTATGGAATAATTCCTTTGGAAAGCAAGAATTTGCAACATTGAAAGCTTATGGTTCTGTATCTGGACCTTGATAGGTGAGGGGTAGGGGGGACAGGTTTTCAAAAACTAGGACTAGGAGACTAATTTATGTGATGTTGAAACATTTAGCCACACCATTTAAAACAATAGTAATTGCAAAAGTGCAAAATAATTTTTTAACCTTCTCTTACATTCTAAACAGTTCCAATATTTATGAGAGGCAAACCCTGTATAAGGTATCTATTGGAGAAAAGTGATTTTAAAAATACTTCGCCTTCTTGTTGGCTCCATAAACTGCAAGTGCTGCTTTTCTGCTGGTAGAGCTCTGTTCATCTGTTTACATGGAAAATGGCTTTCCATTCTTAAAACAAAGCAGTTTCTCAGAAAAGCTGAATTTCTTTCTTTGAGATGATTGACATCATGATTAAAGAGCATCCTAAACTTTGACATCCCTTTAGAACTTAAGTCCAGAATTCCAGAAACGTTTGTATGTGTGGGTTTTATTCTTTGTTTTTAGCCAATTTTTGCTGTCATCATCCAGTCTTATGAATAGTAACAGTGTCTTGTTGGTCATTTGTCTTTAATCCCTCTTGTGCCTCCCCCAAGCCAGGTGTGAATCCAGACCATTAAAAATGTCTAATGCCATGTGACAAGAGTAATGAGTATGTGTTCAAGGTGACTATTAGCAAACACTAGCACAAGGGAAAAAAAGCCCAAGGAATTTGGAAAATCGTTTAGAAGAATAGAGTAACAGGATTTGGACTTTTATCTGACATTTCTGTCCATACATGGCTATAAACAATTCTAGAGCTTTATGCAATTAGTAAATTCTTGAATTGTATTCTGGTTTGTTTCTCCCTCACCCAAACAAATGAGATTCTGCTTTGGTAGCCATTTGTAAAAACATTTAAGATTTCACTGCAATTTTTATCTCATCTTCTCTCTGAAGTTGAAGTCTGCCTATACTAATATGTTGTTAAACTTTTTGATTACTGGTACTTAAAGGATGAAACCAAGTCTTAACAAAACCAAATTTTTCATTTGCTTTCTTGCTCAAGGACTTGGATTTTAGTTCAGTAGGTAATATTTTACATGATTGATAACAGAAATATCTTGCTTGCTCAAAACTTTATAGAGTCTAAATGAAGTATTTTCTTCTTTTTAAAAAAATCTTTTAGTAAGGTATTATTGATACATGAAGGTTTCACGTGAAAAAACAATGTGGTTACTACATTTACCCATATTATCAAGTCCCCACCAATACCCCAATGCAGTCACTGTCCATCAGTGCAGCAAGGTGTCACAGATTCACTGTTTGCCTTCTCTGTGTAACACTGTCTTCCCTGTGACCCCCCCTACACCATGTGTACTAAACATAATACCCTTCAATCCCCTTCTCCCTCCCACACCTAATCCCTTTGGTAACCTCCAGTTCCTTCTTGGAGTCTGTGAGTCTGCTGCTGTTTTGTTCCTTCAGTTTTGCTTTGCTGTTATACTCCACAAATGAGGGAAATCATTTGGCACTTGTCTTTCTCCACCTGGCTTATTTCACTGAGCATAATACCCTCTAGCTCCATCCATGTTGTTGCAAATGGTAGGATTTGTTTCTTTCTTATGGCTGAATAGTATTCCATTGTGCATATATACCACATCTTTGTATCCATTCATCTACTGATGGACACTTAGGTTGCTTCCATATCTTGGCTTTTGCAAATAGTGCTGAGATAAACATAGGAGTGAATATGTGTTTTGAGTCTGAGAACTTGTATTCTTTGGATAAATTCCTAGGAGTGGAATTCCCAGATCAAATGGTATTTCAATTTTTAGTTTGTTGAGGAACCTCCATATTGCTTTCCACAATGGTTGAACTAGCTTACATTGCCACCAGCAGTGTAGGAGGGTTCCCCTTTCTCCACATCCTCGCCAGCATTTGTTGTTCTTAGTCTTTTGGATGTTAGCCATCCTAACTGGTATGAGGTGATATCTCATTGTGGTTTTTATTTGCATTTCCCTGACAATTAGTGATATGGAGCATCTTTTCATGTGCCTGGTGGCCATCTGAATTTCTTCTTTGAAGAATTGTCTCTTCATATACTCTGCCCAATTTTTAATCAGGTTATTTGCTTTATGGGTATTGAGGCGTGTGAGTTCTTTATATAGTTTGGATGTTAACCCCTTTTCAGGTGTGTCATTTACAAATATATTCTCCCATACTGTAGGATGCCTTTTTGTTCTGTTGATGGTGTCCTTTGCCGTACAGAAGCTTTTTAGCTTGATGTAGTCCCATGTGTTCAATTTTGCTTTTGTTTCCCTTGCTTGAGGAGGTGCGTCCAGGACAAACTTGCTCATGTTTATATTCAGGAGATTTTTATCTAAGTTGTTTTCTAAGAGTTTATGGTTTCATGACTTACATTCAGGTCTTTGATCCATTTCGAGTTTACTTTTGTGTATGGGGTTAAACAATAATCCAGTTTCATTCTCTTACATGTAGCTGTCCAGTTTTGCTGACACCAGTTGTTGAAGAGGCTGTCATTTCCCCATTGTACATCCATGGCTCCTTTATCATACATTAATTGACCGTATATGGTTGGGTTTATATCAGGGCTCTCTAGTCTGTTCCATTGGTCTATTGTTCTGTTCTTGTGCCAGTACCAAATCGTGTTGATTACTGTGGCTTAGTAGAGCTTGAAGTAGTAAACCATTTTCTTATTGCTTATTGACAAATGTACAAAATTCTGAATATCTTCAAATGGTCATTTAATTGAAGTCTAATGTGTACACTCTTGTGGTTAAAACTCTTATATCCAGAGGGGTGGAGTGTACCAATACACAGGGAGACTAAGGATAACATTCAAGTGAGGGAATAGACCATTGAAGACTGTCTCTGGTAAATGAGGGAGAAAAGAGAGAGACTCATCAGAATAGGATCCAATCCCTGGTTAGCCCCATTCAACAGTAGGGAGATGAGGATAGGAGCCACACCTTAGTTTGAGAGCAAGGTCAGAGCTGGGTTCTGTTTCTAGAAACAGAGGGGCACAGACTCGCCAAAGCAGAAAGAAA